CATAGATGAGGTCATAATTGGTAAGGGCCAATGGGAAATTTGGCCAGGATGCCGGGGTAATGCTCTTACTGTTTTCGAGGAATGCCCTGGGATTTTTAATAACCACAAAGAGTCAGGACATCGGTTACATGTCTCATCCGTAGGACAGCGCCTATTTACAGTACCCGTCACTATACTGGGGCATTAGGACCCACACAAACTGCATGGTAAGCGCCCCCTACTGGTCTCACTAATACTTCTTCTAGTATGTTACTTGGGGAATACAATAGTTAAAAGGCAACCTCCAACAGGCAGTTAAGGATTCAATTGTGTAACTGAGAGCTGGATTGGAATAAAAACCAGGAGGTGTGTGAGCCTCCGGGATTGAAGACCTCTGTCTGCTATGAGTCACCAAAAAAACCCTGTTTTTCAAATACATTCAAATACATAGAAAAAAAATCCTAAGCAATTAATCCATTAAGGGAGTATTTTTTCAGTTTTAAAGCAGCTCTAGTCCTCAATGGCTGATGTTCTAAACAATCTCAAAATGACTCAGTTAATTACTTAATATAGCAGCTCACTTGTTCAATTGATCTCACTGGAATTGTTCCAAGTCTTTAGAAACTAGTTTAATGGCTCCTTACAAAACCTGTTGAAAAGCACTGCAGGAACAGGATTGGTGGTCAAAGTGACTTGCTCACGACAAGCAGCGTCTTAGTCCCCTAGACCACAGAAGTGGCATACACGCACACTGACACGCTCTGTCACTGGGGGTGTGCTCATCTGATCTGCATGAAACAAGGAAGGGAATGGAAATACGTTTTACAGCCTACTCCCAACATTACAACACAATGACAGACAAAATCTGACCAACCAAGATGTCAGTGCAACAGTGACACAATAAGATAAGGGAGAAGTTAGTTATGATACATTGTTTGAAAGAGATATTGCAGGGTGCCCAAAGATTTCCTGTGTCTATTAGTATTACACCGGTGGGCAGAGAGGTGTCTCCCAGTGGGAGAACTGTGAGCTTGCAGTGGAGGGGCTGAGGGACTCTATCCAGAATACACTTTGCTTTCTTTGCCACCCCTTCGTTTGTAGAAGATATTTAAGACAATTTGCCCCAATTATTTTGCTACTTATTTTGACTAATTTTCACAATCACTGGCACCAATAAGACAGTACGTTAAGACACTTTCAATTAAAGACATGTAGAAAAGTTTTAGGATAGTTCTATTAACCTTGTGACTAGCTTTTTTCCCTTAGTATCACATCATTTGTCCCACCTCAGGTTTGTGTCTATGACCAATCCCAAGTACTTATAGTCATTGACAATATCTACAGTCTGACTATTAATTACAGTAGCTTGGAGAGGTGTTGCATTTTTCCTAAAATCAATGTCCAGCTCCTTTTAAAAAAAAATTAACTGCAAAGACAACTCATCACACCATTCAGCAAAATCATTTAGAATTGGACCATGATGTTTTTCTGGGTCCTTTAATAAGCTGACCATAGCTGAGTCATCAGCAAACTCAGCAAACTTTACAATCATTAGTGTACAAAATGTACAGTAAGGGGGACAAAATACAGTCCTATCGTGATCCAGTGGAAGTATAGCGAATATCAGATTACCAGTTCCATAGTTTGTCCTCTTGAATTCTATTTGTTAAAAAAAAATTAAGACCCATGTCATTATGATATTCTTTAGCTTCAAGTTTTCTGAGAGTTTCTGTGCAAGCAACAATGGTTGTATTGTGTTAAAAGCAGGGGAAAAGTCAACAAATAATATCCTTACAAATGACCTTGCTTGATC